GCATACAAAGGGAATGGACTGACAATTTTTTTTGGGGGGGAAAGGTGTTTGGGGGATGCCCGAAGAGACTGGACAAAAATCGTACACCCATGGATGAGGACAGTGTGTGGGGACTGAGGTGGAAGGTGGGGTGGGAAATGGGAGGAGGGGAGTTATGGGCGGGAAAAAAAAGAAAAAAAGTAATAATCTGAACAATAAAGATTTATTTAAAAAAAAAAAAAAACAAGCTAGAGCAATAAAAAAACCAAGTTAGTTACTCCAGAGCTCCTAAATAGAAGTTTTGTTTATGGTCAAAAAACAATAACCCAAAAAGAAATAAAACTTACGTCTGTTTAAAAGTCTGTGTGTGGGTAGCTGTGGTCTTCATTTGGTCAACATTAATTTCCTCAGAGAACTCTTCCACAGTCTCAATGTCCACCTGTTCCTCCTCATCCTCAATGAATTCTACACAGTTTTCCTGAAACACAACATTCCAACAGTAAATAAAGCATTGGGAAGCAAGCACACCTAAACTATTCAATTGAATGCTCCCCTTGAAAAACCAACTAGTGCCAAGCACTGATCTTATACCAGGAGTACTGATAATCCTAAATTTGTTAATCATAAGAGGGAATTAACTCATAAAAATATGGATGAAGCTAAAAACTAAGAATTACATAATTAAAAAATCACATGTAGTATTAAGCATTCACAAAAGCATACTCAAGGCAGTTAGGGCAATAAAAATATAGCCCAAAAGTCTGTATTGATGCCTAATAGATAAAATTCAGTAATAAATATGTTAAAACTGCATAGTCCTTAAGACTATATAGCAGTAAAATAAAATTTGGCAAAGGGGAAAATAGAAAAAAGAAAAATTCAGGATCTATTTTATGGGTGTTTCATGATAGACTCATGGATACAGACTGATGGTTGCCAAAAGTCGGGGAGGGTGAGACTGGGTGGAAAAGGTGAAGGAATTAACAAGTACAAATTGATAGCTACAAAATAGTCACAGGGATATAAAGTACAGTATAGGGAATATAGTCAATAATATTCTAGTGTCTATGTATGGTGCCAGGTGGGTACTGGAAATACTGGGGAACACTTTGTAAAGTATATGATTGTCTAACCTCTATGCTATACAACTAAAACTAATACAAAATAATACCGAATGTAAACTGTAATTGAAAAAAATGTTTAAAGAGTGAGTCATAGCTAATCACACACCGACACCCACAAAAACATACTCAAGGCAGGTATGGAAACAAAAATATAGCCCAGTCTTTTAAATCTCTCAACCCCACAGAAGGAGAGCTTCTGAAGAATTTCAGATATCAAAAGCAGCTCAGGCTTGCTCTACTTGCTAATTATTCTAAAAAACGAGCATATCAGTAGGCATTTATTGAGCACCTGTCACAGAAACTCACTGTGCATTTTATATAACCAAATATACAGATTATGAGATATGCAGATATCTTTAAGTCCACCTTTAAAAGTAGTGTTTACTATGCCAGAAACTAGAGGGAAAATGTTATCTATAATCACACTGTTCCAAAGAGGCACAACTCAAAAATAAAGTATCCCAATCACCTTAATAATTCTATATTTAAGCTTGTTGTAAAAATTACTTACCCCCAAATTATAGGCTTCATAAGGCTGATAGACCCTAAATGCAAGCCATCATTTATTTTCCCCAATTTAAGCACAATTTAAACAATGTATCTTAAATTTAAACAATGTAAACAACGTGTATTAAAATTAACTGCAAAAAACTTAACTCTTAAGAAGCTAAATCATCAGATTCCCAAAAGAATCTAAAGAGTCTGGATAATATGTTGATAGATGCTTTATAATATTTAAACTGAAGAATGTCTGTCTACTGCATGGCTTAAACTTCAGACTTTGTAAATAATATCCAATAAACTTCACAATGGAAGTTTTAAATTAAGGAAGCTACTCACAACTTTCCTTACACTATTTTAATATAATGTTAATCACAAGCATAAAGATATCATAATTGTATACATGTACATAAATACAATGTAGAATTTAGATTTTAGAGATTTTTTAATATAATGTTCTTCATTTTAAAAAGGTCAGTGTACCTTGTATGTCAGATTCCCTATTAGGAAATTCAAGCAATGCAACCCTGTATAAAAGACACTCTAAATGTTCTATTAAGTCAATTTTATGATAGCAATAGTTTTCACTGGTTTTAAAGTTGGACTGTTTTTGGTCTGATGCTTACCCAGGCTGACTTACAATGGGAGACTCTGCAAAAAGTGCAAGACTATCTATGCAATCTAACTCCCAAACTCAATGATTTCAGAGTCTTCACAGCTACCTACAGATGTCTATCCTCAAAAAGGACTAGACTAGAGGAAGAATATAAGGCATATGCTATAAAACCATCCAATTGTAGGGTTAGATTGTCGTTTTATAAAAGACAACCGAGGTTATAGAAATAACCAACACAAAAATATTTAAACATTTTAGAGTTTTAAAATATTATTTTAAATAACTGCATAAGGTGGTTAGTTATTAACATAGAAGGACTAGGTAACAAAGGCTGAGTGAACAAGGAAGTGAAATTCTAAAATAACCCACTGCATTGCAATCAGTGCAGAGGCCCATATTATCTGCTCCTGAAAAGAGGGACTCATTCCTTTTAGATTTCAGGGCACCCCCACAGGCATCTGTATAACCTCCTTATGATTTACAGCAGATCCCATGTCAGGGGTCAGCAAACACAGCCCACCACTTGTTTCGGTAAGTAAAGGTTTACTGGAACACAGCTACTAAACTTATTCACTTACTAATGTTTGTGGCTGTTTTTATGCTACAACAGCAATTGAGTCTAGCCTGTAATTCAGTTCTTTACAGAAAAAGTTTGCCCAACTCCTGCCCTGTATCACACTGACTCAGTTACTTAGTTCAGTAAATACAACCCTAAATAGGGAACCTACAAAAATGGTTTCAGAAGAATAAATTATAAAGATCATATTATAAAGGAAGACCACCGAAGTTCAGAATATAAATTCTAAAAACTATTTAATTTTAGGAGATAAAGAAAAACTTAAGGCACAATCATATTAAAATATTGGTATTTTCCATTGTTCTCCAAAAAGAACATGTCTCTTAAGTACAGGTAGATAAGTTCTCCCCCAGTTCTAAGGTCACCCATTACTCTGTTTTTTGTTTCTACCAGATAAGCTACAATCACTTTATATAGAAAATGTCAAAAAAATAATTAGGATCAAATGGTAGTAGTGGTTTCAGGATTTCCTTTTTTAAACCTAACTTGACAGAGCATCACAAGCATCTATCTCCAAAAGGCTTTAGTCAGCCTTTCCATAATATCAGACAAATCTCAAAGAACAATGTAAGCTCAATAAATGTTACCTGACTAACACAGCCTAAAACTACAAAGTCATTTTATCATGATCTAAATCTAGGCATCCAATTGAATGTATCAAGGTCTTAGTGATCTTCTGAAAAGCTACTGTCTCTAATAAATCATTTAAATCCTTGAGGTTTCAGTCACAACAAAAATGGGCTCACCACCTTTTCTACATCATCAACCTCCTCACTCTGGTAGTCAGAAACAACATCCACAATCTCATCAACAGAATCATCGGTTTTCTCATTCTCATCCTCCTCGTCATCTTCTTCCAAATCCCAAACACTGAAGTCGGCACTGCTTCTCGCACCCTTCTTCTCTTGCTTTGGTTGTGTCTGTTCTCTTGAGAGCAGTACATGATCTTGAAAATGTCCTTCACCTCGGCTCCCTTTTGTAGCTCTTCTAGGAACAATGGCAAAGGTTGCAGGACTAGAAATCCTACTCCAAGAATCACATTCAGTTTTTAAAACTCTGGTATTCTCAGTAGTTTCACTTTTTCCAAGTAAACCAGAGATGCACTGTTCTTGTTGAAACACATCTGAATTTTCCTGACAAGTCTTTGTTTCTTCAATTAACTGCTCATCTGCCTCTTTCTTGCATTCTTGTGAAGTTCCAATACATTTCTGGGTCAATGGGCCCTTCAGGTGTTTTCTCCATCTTTCCTTAAGACTGTCCATTAGAAAGTCTCCACATCCCTTCTCCTTGGCCTCTGATTGTGGATTAGATTGACGCTCCTCCACAACTATGCTCCCTGATAATTCAAGTTTACAGTCTTCCTTAGAGATAAGTGGAAATTTGTTTGATTTCTCCTCTGAATTGTCTAATCCTTTCTGCTGTTCCACTTTCACATTACCCAGTTTTTTAAGCTGCACATTACTTATACTTTGGACTGTCATATTATTGGCTCTTTCAGAAATGGTCTTAACTTCTAGAAGAGTCAGTTTTTCTTTAGAACTATTATGATTCCTAATCCCACCTTCATTAGCATCTTTACAGTCTTCACTTGTGAGTGACCCAGTGCTACAGGAGTGCCCAGAAGGTTTAACAGTTGCAGGACCTTCTTCTATCAGGGATTCTTCATCTAAATGATCACCCCCATCTTCCAAGGAATCATTCAGAGTTTCTTCTGAGGCAGTAGCTCCTGAGTTTTGCTTTATAGCATTAGCCTCAGAGTCTACAGGTTCTCCATCTGACTGTAGGACCTTTGCCTTCTTAGTTTCCTGCTCTCTTTTTAAAAAGCATGTTCCATCTTTCTGGTCTGCATTCTGGGATTCTCTCTTCATCTGAAGAGAAGCAACATGTTGAAGAATGGAGCTGGGAACAGGCTTTTGTCCTGGGAGCTGCAACAAGGCAAAACTACCAGACTGGAGAGGAACGAGGCTGGCTGTACCAACAGGCTGCCCTCCTGAGCTATAGGTTATTTTGGTTTCAGAGCCTGTTTTATTTGCAGGGCTTTGTGGCTCAGGAGGGGAAATCCTCAGGGTCAATGTACCAGACTGAGACACAAAACTAGGTCCAGAAGAAAGCAATGATGGTGCCTGAGTGATGACATTCACTGCTGGAGAAGCCCCAACAGCTTGAATTACAGGACTCATAACAGAAAAAGTAGAGGATGAAGCAGTAGTTGGTGGAGTCTCTGAAGGCTTAGAAGGAGTGGGTAATCGGATTCCTACCACAGACCCTGGTAAGAAAAAGAAAACATTAAATCACCACTGCCCATATCAAGACTTCCAAAGTATACTTTTCTTTTTGAACAGATGATTCTGAGAGACCAATCCTGCTGTATTAACATACCATATGGCCAAATAATTCAACCAAAGAAAAACTCATCAAAAGATCTCCAGTTTTATACCTGGGTTACGAAACATGACAGGCTGTAAGTTGGGTTGGGTATTAGAGCTTCGAAGCTGATGCAAAGGGAGGAGCTGAACAATCTGCCCATTAGGGTGCCTGAATAGGTTCATTCCACTTGGGCTCCTAATAGGCTGCAAGACCATCCGGTGTCCTGGAAGTTGTGTGTTTGAGACAGGTCTGACATTAGGAGAACCCTGCTGCACTGGAATCAACAACAATCGAGGTCCAGCACGTTTCACTGGGTTAGGAGGAACCTGTGGAGTAGCCACTGAAATTTGAGGGGCATTTTCTGAAAAACAGAAAATAGAAACATAGTATCAGAATTTCCCTTTAACACATGTAGGAAAAAAATTGTAAGATCTGACCATGCTACAAATAACTTCTAATTTGAATTATAAAGTTGTTGAAATCCTGTACCTCTATGATACACTATTTAGTAGTCCTATGGCTGAGAACAATTTATCTTAAAAGTATTAACCAGACATTGCAGAGCCTTACATTTAGACTGGAAAATAAAAAAAGCATCAACTGTCAAGAGGTGCCCTTAAAAAGACAATGCTGCCTAATGAAAAACATGGGCAGCCCTCTAAATCTGGATTATCATTAAGCTAAAGAGGGGGGACTCTTCCCCCCGCCCCATGTGGGATTCTGTGTTGTGAGATTCTTCCCGCCTCTCCACGTGGGAGTCTGTACTTACTCTTCAATAAATTTCCACCTTTGAAAAAAAAAAGAGAGATCTTTCATGATAAATTCTCTTCTTCAACTTTAAAATTCAGGCTGTTAATATTTACTAGTCTTAAGACTTAGCTTCACAGGGCATGATCAAATAAGATAAAGTCAAGAACTAAAAGTCATAAAGTATAAAAAACTTCAAACTTCTTGGCTTTTAAAACTCAGACAAATCAGCAGTGTAAAAATTTGTGGAGCTCTAACCAGTTTGGCTCAGCGGATAGAGTGTCAGCCTTTGGACTGAAGGGTCCCAGGTTCGATTCCTGTCAAGGGCATGTTCCTTGGTTTCGGGCACATCCCCAGTGAGGGGTGTGTGGGAGGCAGCTGATCGATGTTTCTCTCTCATCAATGTTTCTAACTCTCTATCCCTCTCCCTTCCTCTCTGTAAAAAATCAATACAATATATTTTTAAAAACTTGTGGGAATTGTTTTTCACAAAGAAAAAAATGCATAGCCTCCCTCCCCCCCCCAAAAAATAGAATGAAAGTAAGAGACATTGAAGAAACAGGGAAATAAAGCCTGGTTGGGAAGAGGCAAAAGATAGTTTTAAAACAAACAGAAAAGCAAAAGTTTAATGCAGAAGATGTGAATTGAGAGATTTAAAACCACTAATAGTACCTAAAGATGCACTTTAATGTTTGGAAGAGATACTTAGAAATACTATGACATAGGAAAAATAATACGAATAATGTATAGGTAGATTTCTGATCAAGGGGATGAAAAGGTAGGAATAATAATAATAATAATAATAATAAGCTTAAATGAAACTGGTCTAATATTACCATTCAAATTAGGGAAATTACCTAACATTATTAATAAGTCTTTTCATTTGTCACTAAATAGAAAAATCAACAAACCAACAATATACAGATTTAATTTAACATATAATATCCCATCAGATAGGCATTCTGCCCATGAAACATCAAATTTCTAAAAGAAAGTCATATTCCTAACATTTACATGACAAATTACATATAGAAGATCCAGAACTTCTCTTGAAAACAAAATAAAACACAGAGAACAAACTAATTCTTAAAAAAAAAAGAAGTGTGCAATTTAAAAACATTCTTGTATAGTATGTGAATTAAGGAACATATTAAAGCATTAATTTCCTGAACATTTCTATTTAAATTATGATCTGGAGAATGATTCAAAATTAAATTACTCTTACACATTAATGTCTCTCTCTCCTTCTCTTTCTCTCTCTCTCTCCTTTCCTCTCCTCTCCCACTGTTTCTAAAAAAAAATATCCTCACTCCTCAGGTGAGGATTTAAAATGATATAAATAAACAAACAAACTTAAAGCCTGGCTGGTATGGTTCAGTGGTTCAAGTGTCAGCCTGTGCACTGAAGGGTCATGGGTTTGATTCCTGCTCAAGGGCATATACCTAGGTTTCAGGCTTGATGCCTGGCCCCAGTCAGGGCACCTGCATGTGGGAGGCAACCAATCAATGTGTCTCTTCACATTGATGTTTCTCTTTCTCTCTTCGCCCCGCCTTCCCTCTCTAAAAATCAGTGGAAGAAATATCCTTGGGTGAAAATTAACAAAAATAAACAAGCAAGCAAACTTAAATAAGAGTTGATTTAAATAAAAATATTAAGTCAATATAGTACAAAGGGGAATAAGAGCAAGATACATGAATATATAATCTGAGCAACTAAAATCCAAGAAACAATGAACTATAAAAAGCTAAATGACTTTATAGTTTCATGACAGAATTAAAAATATAAAGAAAGGTTGGATTAGGAAACATGATTAGTTAAAACATGACAAGATATAAACCTTGAGATTCCATAGGAAATCAAAACAGCTTCATCAATAATGATCTCACTTCCAAAAATGAATATTAAACTAACCAATATTATATGCTTATTAGGAGAAGCAGAAGACAAACACATTTAATATTGTGATTCACTTCTCCTTTCAACAGAACTTCAACTTATAAACACCCAAGTCACTTATTTCCTCCAATACCAGCAGGGATTTGGACCATGTCACTAATGGCAAAAATATTTAGTAGTAAAAGTATCACTAACCAAGAGAGAATTGCTGTTGGCTATTTATTTCCCCATAAAGCCTGCAAAGTCTCTCACTCTTTTCCATAGAAAGTCCTCTCCAAGTACACTAAGAAAACTATTTACTTTAGTTGTTGAATTAGGATAGAAAAATTACCAAAATGTGAGATATTCCTATTTCAAATTCACTTAACCTAAGTCAACAAGAGAAAAATTTTAATTTTGACTAAAAAGTTGATAAGCATATAAAATATTAGTCCTAAGCAAAGAAATATGCCTTATTTCTATTTCAATCAGTTCATGTATAATAATTAAGTAGGAGAATAATGTCAGTTATATGGAAGTTGGACTGATTCACAAATGATTTTTACTAAGCAAGGGACCCAGAATTTTAACCTTCAGCAAGGACAAAGAAAAAGCCTTCAGCTTGGTTGCAGCATAGGCAGAAGCCTATAATCTTTCTTCTTCTTTTTTCAATTAAAAAAAATACACTACCTCACCCCTAAGAAAAGGGAGCACAGCCAGGGCTTTCCTTGTGTGCTCTCCTCAGAGATGTGCATCCCTAGCTCTCAGTACACAAGAGATTGCACTTTCTCCGTGTCAACCTTAATGGCTGCTCTACTACTGGCTCAGAGCTCCACTCCCATGTGTATCATTGCAGTATCCTTCATCCACCATTTCCATTCTAATGTTTGAGTATTTTTAATATCTTGAAGAAATCTCCAGCACCACTAAGTCATCTGTCCAAACTTTTCAATTTATCGCTAAGGTACCATTTATGGTTTTTATTAGTGCTCTATAACAAGGTTGCATAGATTTTCAGTGATTTGTCCTAACCCTATATTAACCATGGGCTCTCTTATTTTTAGTGTTCAGTTTTGCAGAATGCAAAGGTTTTCAGGAATACATGTATCATGTTACAGCAGAAACACCTACACTGTTACCCTGATATATCTATAATCCTATCACAAACCACAAAGTTATATGAACAGCTGTATAATAAACCAGCTAGTTAACCTCTAGGCCTTACCTGGTCTCTGGCTCACTGGTGGATTCCCATCAATTCCTGAGAGTATAATGGGAACAGAGCCAAGAGATGAAGTTGGTGTGGTCACCATGGAGGAAGATGCAGCTGTGGTCACCACGACTATGGAGGTGGAAGCAGTGGAAGCAACAGGAAGAGTTATGGTTGGAGATGCCACCAAAGACTTAGGAAAAGCAACTGAAGTCACGGGGGTAGTTATCCCAGTTGTTTTGATAAGGTTCACAGTGCCTGTAGATTGGGTAGATGTTACAGGAGTGCTGGTATTAGTTTCAGAGACCTCAACAACCCCTGCAGTGGTGGCACCAGAAGGGTAAGTAGTTTCTTTAGTTCCCACGTCAGACACAGCAGTCTTAGGTGTCACAGCAGTAACATTCTCTAAAAACACTTGAGGGGTGGTAGTAGTGACAGCAGCAGTCACAGGGCTGCACACCTGAACTGCCTCAGAAGAAACCACAGGTGTGACGACCATTACTGGAGAAGGTCTGATACTGAACTTCTGTGGCCCTGTTAGGGGTTGGGGTGTGCTAACTCCAGGTATCTTCTGCTGCAGGGCTCCAACTTTACTCATCACAAACTGTGTGAACACACCACCAGGAGAGGGTCGTGCCGCTGCAAATAAAAATTTGCAGGTCAAAAATCTTCAGTTCTCATATTTTATCCTCTTAGTGATTGTGTTTATCAACATTTATTGTGTGCACCACTGGGTCCACTTCTTACGGGTACTACCTACCTGCAATATACATGTCAATTTCCATACACAGAAATCAAAACACTTCCCTCAAGCCCAACCTTTAAAATCACCAAGAAAGGAATTAAAATTTGGTGTTCCTACTAAAAATCTTTTGTCTGTGCAATATAGCCATATTGCCAGGACACTAAAAAGACACTACAGCTGCCCTGGCCATGTGGCTCGGTTAGTTGGAGTATTGTCCTATACACCAAAAGGCTGTGGGTCTGATTCCTTGTCAGGGCACATGCCTAGGATGGGAGTTCAATCTCCAGTAGGGGTGTGTACGACAGGCAACCAATAGATGTTTCTCACATCAATGCCTCTCTCTCTAACTCTCTAAAAATCAGTGAAAATGTTCCCCTACTCAGGTGAGGACTGAAAATAAGTTTTAAAATTAAAATAAAAAGATAATACAGCAGCACACAACTTCAAACAGATAAAGATCCCCCCAACTCTAATTTAAAAATTTTTCCCACCACTTCTTCCTAACCCAGTACCTCCACCTCTTTATTGCAGTCCTCTTATAAGACAGTTAGATTTACTATCTTATTTTTAACATGTATGAAAACATTTTTCATGAGAGGACAGAATAGGACTGTTTATTTTTTAAATCACTATGTTATAAGAAAAGAGATAAAATGGGTTCCTTTTAAGGCATACAAATGCCTATCCCTCCATCTTCACATAACTCCAGCATTCAGCCAGAGACTTCAATTTCCTATTAGAGGAAAAAAATATAGTAATAGACAATTTTACTTAACATTCCTAAATAGATTTGAAACAACAAAAAGAAATTCAATAAACCAATTGTATATACTCTCCATGCTAAAACACAAAGGCTTTCAAGAGAGTAATTTATTACAGACTCTAGCACTAAAGTTAAGCAAAAGATTTTCATTCAGAGAACACGGATGATAGAATAATGTTCCCAATATTATGTTTTCCAAGAGCCTTCTATACTTTAAGCCTATACTAACTCAACCCACTTTGATTCTGCTACCTCTATTGTTTAACAAGTTCACGGAACATACATATGATTGGTACCAATAACACCAGTCCTCATAGAAGAAACATTAAATTAGGGAAAAGTATTTAAGACTATGTATTTTCCTTTTAAATATAAATTAAAAACAAAATTTAAAGCCTACATTTTTTTCTGCATTATTAAAAGTCTAAAAGTCTGGGCAATAACTGTAAAACTAACAAGTTCAATTCATCTAGTATTATACGTCATCAGAGGCATTCCCAAAATATTTGAGCAAGACAGACATTGAGAATAATTTTCACAACCCCCATATTATATCCACAGACCAAGAAGCAAGTCCAAGTTCCAAAACATATATACAGCCCAACTTACCAATTGGTCTTTTTGCCGGGACAAATGCCTTCAGATTCTTCCCAGGGTGATTTGTTGCAGTGCCGGAGGAGGATGCCATTTTGGAATTGGATGTTGAAGGCAACAGGGTACGTGGTTTCCTGGATGCAGCCACCTTGGCATTGGATGCTACCTTGGAGATGACAGTACTGAGGGTTGAGAGGTCCAGGACTGAGGGTCGCAACCTGCCTGTGATATAAGCAGCTAGCCTATTGGCTGGATGCAATGCCCCCATCTGTCCCAATAGCAACTTAGCCTGCGGGTAACTCTTACCATTAACCTGAAACAAGTGGCAAAGAGAAATTCTGTAAAGATAAAATTCTCTTGCTAACTCATCTCCCTTGACAGGGGTTTCATTTTTACAAGGTTTTAAAAATCTATTTTTCAGATTTAAAGGGAAAAAGAAATGGGCTTTTCCCATTTGGTATAATCTGAGTAATCAGGAGGTGGAAAAAAAAATACTATTATCTGATATTCTGAACTAATCTCATCCTTCATTTTGGTAACTGGGAAACAGAGAATCTTAGAAACTCATCATATCTGCATCGCAGAAATGTGAAAGATATGTCAAATCTAAGCAATCATCCAATTGTTTTACTTGTCAATAAGCAATTCTGATTAAGTTATTAACAATCACCAGCAAAAATGACTAACTGTATTCTCCAGATTTTCTGACCAGACTAGAAGGCATAATGAAGCCCTCTCACAAGGGTCTTTATAAGCTACCCTTCACAACATTTGGGAAATATACAGTGAGTCTACTTTAACCTAAGTCACAAAGTAACCTCAGTTTTCTAAAAACTCAACTTTGAAGATATTGTCTTCCATCTCTTGGATAAAACTTGGGGTTGGCTCAAAATAAATGGTAGTAGAAACTCATTGTAATTTTTAAAATAGTCACTAAACTGTCAGAAGAAAGTAAATCAATGAATGAAGATTTTTTTCTATTGCCTGAATTGATAGACTGCCTATTTGGGGCAGCAGGGAAGTTTTTCTTAAAAGAAAGAAAAACAAAAACCTCCCAAATTTCTTACCCATGTTTTCTAAGTCATATTGCTGGATGACTAAAGAAGATATCCTTTTTTGTCCCTCCTTTACGTCATTTAAAAGGAGGAGGGGGTAGAGGGAGTTGGAAAAACTCAAACTCTCCAAACTAATAGGGAATTGGTGAGGAGAATCACTACAGCAACCCACTCTCTCCAAGGACACAAAACGTAATTACTCTTTGCTACTTAGGTAAAATTGTGATTATTCCTAGACAATTGTGATTATTCCTAGAAATATCTATGCCTACGTTGGCACAAAAAAATGTGATCTTTCTATCCTAAAGTAAACTTTGCTGTGTTCTTCAGGCTCTGTGGAGTCCGGATCAGATATCCGTAATCTGCTCCTTGGAGAGACTTGCTCTAAAGAATACTCAGCAGCTTCCCCAAAAGCCCACAGTGGCCTGACTGTTTATGCAAATTCACATTTTATGATGGCTTTCTGAGTCCTAGACAGAAGAGAACACAAAATTTCTATGCCTGTATTTCAGGGAGTCTAGTCTCTCTAGAAATGATTTCAGATAAATCTTGGCTCTCAAAGTATTTATCAATAAATGCAATAAAGAGAAAACCCTGTTCTCATTATTAAAGAAGTAAGAAATACCAACAGAAGCAGTATATAGGACCACCAAGAATAAACTGCAATAAAAAGTTTTTAACTAGGTAGATCATCTATATTGTTATTGAAATAGTCCTTAGCCCAGAGAAGTGGTCAAGCTAATACAGTCAAGTAACCTTAGCAACAATGTCAGACACTTCTACACATTTGCTATGCTGATGTAAAAGTACATTTAATGTCTCTGAGCAAGAGGAGAAAACCTTTTTGACTATGACTAAGTTTTAATTCAGAACTTCTCTTTCCAAAGGCTTTTCCACATGCCAGGGTAATTTTACTAATATAATCTGCCTGAATTACTGAACAGTAAGGATAGAGATATTTGGCCTACAACAATGATTATACTGACAAAAACCCTATGAATTATATTTTTTTAGAACTACTTAAGCAAGCAAATTGTGGCTCATTTAAAAAACTTTTATAATTTGAATAACACCTTACTTAAGTTTTCTCCAAGTTTCCAAACACATTCTGCCTGCTTTAAAATCAATTTGATCTCATTTTATTTTGAAAGCTTTCTTCTAATAATAATCTCAAGAACTAAACTGAATCCCTTACTATCCTTGCTTGGTTGCCAAAGTATCACTAGATCCAGACAATGAAGTTTAAGAGGAGTAACTTTCTGAGGAGACGAGGGTCTATATTTGTTTATAAGTGTGACAAAAGCTCACTCTAGGTATGCTTCTAACCTAGAACTATTACAAAAAGAGATAATGATTTTGTCACTCAGTTCCCAGGCAATGTGAAAACAAGTTATTTAAGGCCCCCAAAGGGCTCTGAAAAATAAAGATGTTACCTAAATACAAAAAAGTGCTACACCCAGATTAAAGATAATTCTCACCTGGATAAGCCCAGATGTGCTTGAACTGGGTTTACGTTTATTGGCCACAAGTTTCCCTGCAGGAGAAAGCCCTGCATAAAAGGGCAGACCTTTGCCTCCATGTAATCTCTCCCTCACTGAATCCAGGGCATCTGTCTGCACAGGAGAGATATCATCCATTTTCCCAGGGGATAATGGACCATCAGGAGTCTCTGATCCAGATTTCTCAGCCATATCATCTTGGTCTTGACATGATGGCATAGAGATTTTCACACGAGAAGAATAAACAGGGGGGCTCTTCTCACCCCGGCTCTTTCGCTGAGAAGCCAACTCAATGATGAAGCTGCCCACCTTAAGTGATTGTGGCATGTTGCTATTGATGTGCTGGGATAAGATGCTCAATATCTTGTTCCGATCCTCCTCCCAGTTGCAGTCTGAGATGATTTCTATCAGTTTGGTGGGACCACCAGGTGACCTCTGATGCACATAGGAGGTAGAAGAGGATTCCCCTTCATTACAAGAAGACTTCCAGCTCTTTTCTGATAAGAAATTGAAAGATATTTGTGCATCAAAGCAATTTACACTCAACTTTGAAAGATTTTTACTTTCTCTATGTTCTCAGAAAAGTACCAGGGGTATAGAAATTCAACAGTTGCCCAATGTCCCATTCCCATGTATTTTCAGTGGTAATATAACACTCATAACTTGGGAATTTTCCAGGAAAAAGATGCCAGAGAATCAGATTATAATAGTCCTCACTCTCCTGCTAACTAGGCTTTCTAATAAAAAGGAAATAGTCCTACTTAAGACTATTCTAAAAACCCATACCTATTACATGAAAAAGTATTACCTTGCTAACAAATGACCTATAAGCAAGGTTAAAGCTTATTCAGTACTAAAGGCCCAGTGCATGAATTTGTGCATAGGTGGGGTCTGGAGGCCAATCAGGCAGGGCCGGTGGTGGGGGTGAAGGTGGGGGATCAGGGGCTGGGCCGGCACGGGGAAAGGGTCCCGGGAGATTGGGGGATGATGATCACACTGATTGGCTGCCCCAGTGCGCATCATAGGGACTGGTAGTTCTGGTCACTTGGCTTTATATATAGATAGATAGTTTAATGTTCTGCTATCCATATAGGCAAAGCAAAGATACTTGCCAGATGCTTTGTAACCTGTGACAGGCAATCAATACCAAAAAACAGCAAAACAGTGTTCTGGTTTAAAAACACATACACATAAAGTGCACTCTATCTCTAGTTTCTACTGCAAATACTTCTGAATCACTTTTTGTTTTCTACTTCTGAAATATATTTGTACATCTAGATGTGATTGCTCCACTTCTATATCATGTGCAGATCACTCAATTCACCATGTTTTCTATGTTAACTAGATGTCTACTTAACTAGAAAACAAGATTTCTACAGCTGAGCCTCTCAACCAAAGTTCTGCCGTTACAGGTATGTCAGAATATAAGATTCCGTCAGCCTTCATACTAGTCGTGTTCTCAGGCAGGATCTCTCCACCATAGCAGGCTCCTCTACTTACCTTAGGGTACTACAAAAACATTTTCACTTTTTGTGTGTATTATGCTTGCTAAAAAAAAAAAAGTTGGAAACCACTGCTGCTTTAGTGTCTGAAGTCTTAGGAAGCAAAACCAAAAACAAATAGTTAACTCCCTAGACATTATCTCTCACCAAATTTGGCAGTAGCCTCTGCTAGGTAAATCCTTCCTTTCTCCCTCTGCCATTTCTCCAAAAGCAACAGCTACTGAGAACCTGAGTAAAAATTTCAATAGCTAAACAAATAGGATTGAGGTTTAAAAAGAAGTTTAAAACAGAAAATCACAGCCTAGCCGGCATGGCTCAGTAGTTAAGCATCGATCTATAAACCAGGAGGCCACAGTTCAATCCATTCGCGGCCTATGTCTGGGTTGCAGGCTCGATCCCCAGTGTGGGGCATGCAGGAGGCAGCTGATCAATGGTTATCTCTCATCATGGATGTTTCTATCTCTTTTACCCTCTCCCCCTCCCTTCCTCTCTGAAATCAATAAAAAACATATTTTTTTTAAAAAAATTACTAACAAGACAGGGATGTCTACTTTCACCACTCTTATTCAACATGGCACTGGAAGTCCTAGCCACAGCAATTACACAAAAAATAAAAGGCATTCAAATTGGAAAGAAGTAAAACTGTCATTATGTGCAGATGACATGATACCGCATATAAGGGACCCTAAGGATTCCACCAAAAAACTACTATAACTGATAAATTCAGTAAAGTAGCAGGATACAACAAAAAATACTCAGAAGTCAGATATATTTGTATACACCATTAATAGACTATCAGAAAGGGAAACTAAGAAAACAATCCCATATACAACTACCTTCAATAAAGAAAAAAAATGCGTAGGAATAAATTTAACCAAAGAAGTAAAAGAGCTGTATTCAGGAAATTATAAGACAATAAAAAAATAAATTGAAGATACTAATAAAACATAAACCATGCTCATGGGTAAAAAAAATAATAACTAACAAATAATAATACAAGAGCCCTAACCGGTCTGGGTCAGTGGATAGAGCGTCGGCCTGCAGACTGAAAGGTCCCAGGTTTGATTCCAGTCAAGGGGATGTATCTGGGTTGCGGGCACATCCTCAGTAGGGGATGTACAGGAGGCAGCTGATCAATGTTTCTCTCTCATCAATGTTTCTAACTCTCTATCCCTCTCCCTTCCTCTCTGTAAAAAAATCAATAAAATATATTTAAAAATAATAACAAGAATAATACAAGAATAAACTGTGTTTCACATACAACTGTAAACCTACTTTTGCCCCAACCTGCATACAAGGAACATACAACACCAAAAGAAAAACAAACAAAAGAACCCAATTAAAATATGCGCAGAGAACCTAAATAGACATTTCTCCAGAGGACAAACAGATGGCCAACAGACATATGAAAAGATGTTCAATGTCACTAATTGTCATAGAAATGCAAAGTAAAAACACAATGAGATATCACCTCACACCTCTCAGAATGTTTATTATCAATAAATCGACAAACAAGTGTTGTCAAGGATGTTGAAAAAAGGGTACTCTTGCGCACTGTTGATGGGAATACAGATTGGTGCAGCTACTGTGGAAAACAGGATGGAGGTGCCTCAAAAAAATTAAAAATGGAACTACCTTATGACCAGCAATTCTACTTTTGGGCACATATCCAAAGAAACCCAAAACACTAATTAAAAAGAAAATGTGCACCATTATGTTCATTGCAGCATTATTTACAACAGCCAAGGTTTGAAATCAGCCCAAGTAGATGAGTGGATAAAAAAGTATGGTAGCCCTAGCCAGTTTGGCTTAGCAGCTAGAGCAGGGGTGGGCAAACTTTTTGACTCAAGGGCCACAATGGGTTCTTAAACTGGACCGGAGGGCCGGAACAAAAGCATGGATGGAGTGTTTGTGTGAACTAATATAAATTCAAAGTAAACATCATTACATAAAAGGGTACGGTCTTTTTTTTTTTTAGTTTTATTCATTTCAAACGGGCCGGATCCAGCCCGCGGGCCATAGTTTGCCCACGGCTGGGCCAGAGTGTCAGCTTGGGAACCAAAGGTCCCAGGTTCGATTCCAGTCAAGAGCATGTACCTTGGTTGCAGGCTCCTCCCCGACCCAGGCCCTGGTCAGGGCTCATGCAGGAGGCAACCAATCGATGTGTTTTTTTCACATCGATGCTCCTCTCTGTCTTTCCCTCTCTCGTCCACTCTCCCTAAAATTTAATAGAAAAATATCCTTGGGTGAAGATTAACAAAAAATAAAAAAAGCTATGGTACACATATATCTACAGTGGAATATTACTCAACCTTTAAAAAGAATGAAATCTGCCCTGACCGATTTGGCTCAGTGGATAGAGCGTCGGCCTGCGGACCGAAGGGACTGGGTTCGATTCGAGTCAAGGACATGTACCTTGGTTGTGGGCTTATCCCCAGTGGAGGTGTACAGGAGGCAGCTGATCGATGTTTCTCTCTCATCGAGGTTTCTAACTATCCTTCTCCCTTCCTCGCTGTAAAAAAATCAATATGGTAAGTGAAATATGTCAGTCAGAGAAAGATAAACACTATATGATTTCACTTATATGTGGAATCTAAAGAACAAAATGAAAGAGCAAACAAAATTGAAATGGACTCATAGACACAGAAAACAGACTGATGTCAGAGAAGAGGGGGAGAGGGAACTTGGGAATTGGCTGAAAACGGTGAAGGGATTATTAAGAAGTATGAATTGGTAGTCACAAAACAGTCATAGGGATGTAAAGTACAGCATAGGAAATCTACACTAATAAAAGAGAAAGATGCAAATTGACTGTACCTTCAAGACACCCGCCAGCCAATCAGGTTTGAGTATGCAAATTAACCCAACAAAGATGGCAGGTTAATTTGCATACACAGGCACCAAGAGGCCGGGGGTAGAGTGGGATGCAGGCATTCCGCACCACCCCAGCAACTCCAGGCCTCTGGGCTGCGTGGGAAGGCAGAAAAGCGGCTCCGGCCAGAGCGAAGGCGGTGCCGGCAGCCAGGGAAAGGAAGGCCCATTCTTGCACGAATCTTTGTGCATCCGGCCTCTAGTATAGTCAATAATCCTATCTAATAAAAGATAAAAAGGGTAATTAAGTGTACCTCCACTACCCTTCCCCTTGGCTAATCAGCGAGATATGCATATTAACTGCCAACAAAGATGCAGCTGAAGCGAGCAGGAGGCTTGCTTGCTCCAGTGATTGAGAAAGCCAAGATTCCCCACCTGCCGCGGCCTGCTCTAAGCTCCGAAAGCAACAGCTCAAAATGCAACAGAGTTTCAATTATAGAAGCTAAACAAACACAGATACCTGCTTTCAGCGAGCTGCAGCCTCAGAGCTGGAGTGAACAGGACGGCAACAAAGTTTCAATTATAGAGGCCAAACAAACCCCAGATACCTGCTTTGAGCCAGCCGCGGCCTCAGATCTGGGAGCGCCAGATATGCCAACAAAGTTTTGATTATAGAAGGGAAATAAATCCCAGAATTAAAAAAAAAAAGAAAAAAAGGAGAGGCTGGGGGCTTCAGTCGCCAGTCAACCTGAA